ATATCTATATGAATACTCGAAAATCATGCAAGCGTTAAGCTGTAAACATTTTCAAAGCCAATTTTCAATTGAAAAATTATAGAAATGGCAATCAAAATATTGACAAAATTTTGCATTGAATGGAAAGTAGCTTAAAGAAAAGGTGAATACAGTGCTGGCAATATAAATATAGACGCTTCTTTCACTAGTTAACGAGAACTAACGCCAAAAACCGAATAAACAAAGTCAAAGAAAATTGTGAAAAGTTCAAGAATTTTTGTTAAGTGTTTGTTGAGTGCAAAAGAGTGAGAGAGACAGAGAGGGAAAATGCCGCTCTATTCGGATTCAAGCAACTACTACTACAGCGGCGGCAGCAGCCAGCTGTACTCGCCCTACTACAGCTCGAGCTTGGTCAGCAGCAGCACCACCAGCCCCAGCTACACGTCCAGCTACAATCGCGCCTATCCGGGCAGCTATATGGTGCCGCTGCTGCCCTCGCCGCGCTCGCCCAGCTACAGCAGCAGCAGCAGCAGCGGCATCGGCAGCAGCAGCAACAGCAGCAGCAGCAGCAGCATCTTGGGCCTATCCTCACGCTATCAGCCCAAGCTGACTACGATCACGGAGAGCTCCGGGCTGACGGGTCGCCACAGCGGACACAGCAGCCTAATGCCACTGACGCGCATCCAGTCGCCCAAGTACACATCCGTCTCCAGCTACGGCAGCAGCAGCAGCAGCAGCAATCGCTATATACCGCCGCGACCCATCGCCATCAATACGGCGGACATAGATGTGAGCTCGTCGAGATACAGGCGCTCGGCTGAGCCGGTGGACCGCAAGCGTGAGCCGGACGCAAACAAAGAACAGGCCAAGGAAGAGCCAAAGGAACAGCAACAGCAGGAGCTGCAGCAGCAACCAGAGCCACAGCAACAGCAACAGCAGCAGCAGCCCCGCCGATCCACTATACGCCGTAATCGAGCTGTGGTGCGTCTCTCCACCATACGTCGGCGCAGCAAGGAGCGTGTGGAGCAGACGACGACGACCAGCGAGAAGCAGCAACAGCAGCAGCAGGAGCATCAGTTCCGAGATCTGCCGCCGCCAGCGGAGCCCAGCTTGAGCTGGCGCCAGAAACTGGCCGAAGAGCTGGCCGCCTTTCCCACGATCAGCAACAAGAAGTCGCCCGGCGAGCTGCTGCGCGAGCGTTTCTACATACGCGACGAGAAGCAGGAGACGTTGGCGCCACGGCATCAGCAGCGCCAGCAGCAGCAACAGTTGCAGCTGCAGCAGCCGACGCAGGCGACGCTGCAGACAGCGGAGGCCAGCAGCGGAAACGAGTCCGAGCTGGAGCAGCAAACGGAAGAGGAGGAGCCGCAGCAGGAGCAGCAGGAGAAAGCGGCACAGATAACCGAGTCCATACGCCGGCTGAGCCTAGTGCAGTGCCCGACCTTTCACGACATCTGCGAGGACATCTCCTCCGACAAGATCGACGACGATCTGAATGCAGGCGAGCTGCGACGACGCGCCTCCATCATACAGGAGCAGGAGCAGGAGTTGCTCAACAAGCTGCAAAAGTCCAATTCGGGCAGCTTCCAGCTGATACACCTGGAGCGCCGCAGCAGCCACGACAGCACCACAGCGGACGAGGGCCAATCCGCAGCTGCGCCCGGCGGCACCAAGCAGCCCGCCAAGAAGAAGAGCAAAAAGCTGCGCCACAAGATCACAGCTGTGGTGGCCGTGGATAACGCGGTGCTGCCGGCCCAGCACATGCCCAGCGTCCAGGAGCTGGAGGAACAGCCACCCCAGGTCAGCAGCCCCAAGCCCAAATTCACGGCCAATGTGGAGACCGTGGAGGAGCATCACCAGATACACAAGATATTCAAGCTGCCCAAGAAAAAGCTGCCGGCAGAACAGCAGCAACAGTCGCTGCCCGAGGGCTTCATGAAAGCCTCGCCCAAGGCCAAGACATCGCCGCTCAAAAAGGCAGCTAAGCCGATGGAGCAGCAGCAGCAGCAACATGAGCAGCAGCAGGAGCAGCAACATGTGAGTGTTGCTCAGATCTTTACTTTCGATGAGGCCGCCATTCAGCAGAATCGAGCAACAGCAACGCCCACAGTCGTTGCCACGCCCACTCCCACGCCCACAGCCACGCCCACTAAGACAGAGGGCGTTGCCACGCCCAAGCCCATACGCAAGGCCTTGCAGAAGTCGGAGAGCGGCGAAGATTTCTGGTCACAGATCGGCTCACGGGAGACGCTCTACATGACCAATCGCAGGAAGGCCCAGAGCGAGCGTCAGCTGGAGGCGACCCCAGAAGCAGCCGAGCTGTCGCCCAAAGACGAGCAAGCAACAACAGCAGCAGCAACAGCAACACCTGCAACACCGTTGCTCAGATCCGAAATTTTGATTGAGCTAAAGCCAGCAATAACAACAACAACAGCTGCTGCTGCTGCAACCAAGCAGCCAATAGCAACAACAGTAAAGACAGCAACAGCAGCAAAGACAACAACAACAGCAGCAGCAGCAAAGACAATAACAGCAACAACAACAGCGCCTAAGCCAGCAGCTAAAACTGAAACAACAACGGACTCACCAAAGTCTGCACCAGCAACACCAAAGCCAGCAGCAGCAGCAACAGCAAAGTCAACAATAACAACAGAAGCAGCAACGGCAATAACAACAACAGCAGCTGCTGCTGCAGGCTCACCAAAGCCAACACCAGCAACAGCCAAGGCAGCAGCAGCAGCAACAGCGAAAACAACAACTGTTGCAGCTGCAATCAGCTCGCCAAAGTCAACGCCAGCAACACCAACTGCAACTAAAACTGAAGCAACAGCAGCAACAATTGCAGCTGCAATCAGCTCACCCAAGTCAACGCCAGCAACACCTAAGCTGGCAGCCGCAACAACAACAATTGCAGCAATCGACAGCGATAAAATAGACGCAGCAGCAGCAACAGGAACAAGTTCACCAAAATCAAAGCCAGCAACATCAAAGCTAGCAACAGCAAAGACAGCGGCAACAGCTGCTGCTATTGATGGGGCCAAAGCTGCAGTAAGCAAGCCAGCAGCAACTGTTGCTGCTGCAGGAAAACAGTCTGGCAACGCCACAGACAGCGCTGTTGCCATGACAACAGCATCAACAGTAAACGCACAGACAACAGCAGCAGCAACAACAGCAACAACAACAACAACAGTAGCAGCTCTAGGCAAACCAAAACTGAACGAAACGGCGGCGGCAGCAACAATAGCAAAAACAGCGGCAGCAACAGCGACAACAGCGCCAAAAATAAATGCCGGGCAAGCAGCCAAGTCACCTGAACAACAACAGCAGGCAACAGCAGCAGCGGCAGCGCCATCGCCGGCAGCAACGAAAATAAATAAAACGCATAATAATGAGCGACAGCAGCAGCGGCAACCACCAGACAACGCAACAGAAACAGCAACAGCAACAGCAGCAGCGGCAGCAGCAACAACAATTGCAACTGCAGGGAAACAACAAACGGAAACCAAATCGAAATTGACGGAAATTGCTGAGCCAAAGTCAAAGGTGCAATCACCGAAAGCGACAAAGCCAAAAACAGCTGCAACAGCAGCCAAAAAGAAAGTCGCAGCTACTCCCACAGCAGCAGCAGCACCAATAGCAGCAGCAGCAGCAACAACAGCAGCAGCAGCGGCGGCAGCAACAACTTTGCCAGACAGCAATGTGACCCCAATCAATGCCGATCAATTTATAACGCTGGCCCCCACTAAGGCGGCCAATGCGGCGGCAGCGGCCACAAATGCGTCATCGCCTGCAGCAGCAGCAGCAGCAGCAGCAACGGCAGCAATTGCAACCGCCGCAACAGCAGCAACGCCTACAACAACAGAAGCGGCAACAGTAACAGCAACATCAACAGCAGCAATAACAATAGCAACAACTGGCGATGAGCAAACGTCGCAGTTACGAGCTGTTGCTGCTGCTACGACAGCGACGGCTGCTGCGGCTGCTGTTGTCGACAGCAGCAACAACAGCTGCGGCGAAGGCGTCGGCAATAATTTATCAAAGTTTGCAACAGTATCGAATTTGGCACAGTGTCTGCGAGACGTGGACGCCGAGCTAGAGGACTATATACCGTCGTCGGCGGAAAGCAGCGAAGAGAGCGACACAGACAGCTCGGGCGATTTGTCCAGCGCGAATTTGAGTGCCAGCATGAAGAAGAAACAGCGCAAGGAGAAGAAGAAACAGAAGGGCAAGGATGCGGCGCCCGCACGCTTCGATCCGCAGAAGAAAATCAAAATCGATACGAGCAGCAAGTGCTATGTGAAGGAGGAGGCGCCACGATATCCGCTGGTGGCCACACCACGTCCGCTGTGGAAGCGCGAGAAGATCGTCTACTCCGATGAGAATACGGACGACGAGAGCAGCGAGGAGGGCAGCGAGGCGACCGGCGGCTCACTGGATGAGGAGAGCGACGAGGATGACAGCGATGCCTGCAGCAGCAGCAGCAGCACCAGCTCCTCCGACTTTGACGAGGAGGCGGCCAGAGCAACTGAGAAACGCAACACAAATGCCCCAGCATCCAATATAAATAATAATAATAATAATAATAATAATAATGCTTCGACGCCAGCGAGCAGCTCGACCACAGCGCCAGGCAGCCCGTCCGTCTCCAGCTCCCCATCGATCATCCGGATGAGCACGTGCAGCAATGATTCCGGCTTCGAGGGCGGCACGGCGCCGTCCAGCCCCAAAAAGATGTTAGGTAAGCGATCGAGCGAATATCACTTCGACTGAGACGGCATCCATCGCAGCTGACTCGACCCGGACAGACGGCCGGCAGTGTTGGCCACTTGAGTGTTGAGCTGCACGTGCACAGCTGCCACTGCCACTGCACCACCCACAAGTAAACCACCCACCCACCCACACGCACACATCGCTATGGCCCCCCTGCCCCACAGTTGCTGCTGCTGATGCTTCTTAGAGCTTGTTGTGCATGCAATTTGCTTTCATTTTCACAAAGAGCGTGAGAGTGAGTGAGTGAGAGAGCGAGTGGGAGGGTGAGAGTGCGAGAGTGCGAGAGAGCTTGGCATGCGGAATATTTAGTTGAAAAACAAATAAACATGCTATAAATCTGTGTAGCTGCGTATATACAAAAATGCCTTTAATATGGCCACAATATACTATACACTTGTACAGAGACAAATACATACATACATACATACACGCATATATATAAACGAATGGGGAAACAACGAAAGTTGAAAAACAAACTTTGCTCCGCTGACTCTTAGCGCACTCAAACAGTCAGCGCCAAAGGAAGTCAAAGTCAAAGTTCCAGGGAAAACCCTATATAAAAATGCTATGCTTAGACCTGATTCCAGCTAATTTGATATAAGTACTACCAAAGTGCTATATGTACATGTATGCGTGTATATATTCTGCTCATATATGTGTACGCACATATACACATGTCTATCTAGTCCCATGCATGGTTGACAGATATCGACTTTTCGTGCAGGGAATTTTATTTTTAAACATTTTCTTAGAAATATCATCAAAATATTGTCAATTGAGCTCAAGTTTTATGATCTGTGTAGGTGTTTACTAAAGAGCTACAGCTAAAGACTATCTGATGCTAGATTATAATTTCCTGTAGAGCAGCCTGATCTAATCGAACTTGACATTTTAGAACTTCATCTAATCGAAACCTAATCAGACTATACATCTGATTAGCTGCCTAATCAGAAGGAGTAAACTGAGGAGGCAAAAAGTATTAAATACCTCTAAGGCTTCGTAGTCTCCTTAACATTCTTGTGTAAAGTCTGATATGCTACAAATATTACCTGAAACCCCTTTGAGGCAGGCTATAGAAGCTGCCTGAGAGATCTGGTTCTATAATCATCTCATCTCTATAAGCATAACGAAATCTGATTGGACAACAGGAGCTGAGAGAGCACCAGAAGTAACAGGCATGCTGATCAGTCTTGCGTGAGTTCCTATAGCCAAGCCAGACAACCTATAGATCTTTCCTGAAAGATCTGCTGCTATAATCATCTCATCTATATGAGATATAAGCGGAAGCGCTTGACTGGTTGAACTAACCGCAATTTAATTGTATTATGAATCTGAGTAGCTGGCCAATCAGCAGGAGGCGAAAGAGCGCCAGGAGTAAAGGGTCCAAGGCTGACCATTCATGTGTAATAGGAATACGTGTGAGAAATCTCATAGCCTCTTAAAGAATGGGCTTAAGAGGCAAGGAGTTGGTTCCAGTCTCCTTATCGCTGCTCCTTGCCCTCGAAATGGAACAGATCGTAGCTGCTCATTAGCCTATTATGCCTTACTATGTCTCATCTTATTATGAAACCTAATAACATATGCAGTTAACATTCTGTTAACTCTTGGCTCTCCAAAGATGCCCAACATATATATATTTATATAATTTGGTTGAATCAGCTCGTTACTCAGTAGCAAACAATTCTGTTGAGAATTCGCTAGCACAATGTGGAACTAGAGAGCGAACAGCTAAAAGATGCAGCCACAGCCACCGCTACAGAGATAGAGATAGAGAGAGATATAGCTACAAAGATACCAAGAGATAGACAATTTGGCAAATTTACTTTTAGCAAATTGTATACAAAATTGTTTAGGTCATCGTCGTGTTCCGTCGTCGTCGTTTTTTTTTTTTCGGGATCTGTCGTCTTTCATCTTATGTTTTTTTTTTTCTGTTTGTTCTCAAGTTAACGAGAAACTGAATTCTCATGCAGGGAAAACACAAGAAAACATTTGAAATATGCTCGAACATTTCGTTCAGTAAATGCAACAATTACCGAAAGCAAAAGTTTCATAAAAATTTGAAATAAATGCGAAACATGTAAACAAAGACTTTCCAAATATTTGCAATACCAAATTCAAATATCCATTATATCTATATGTGTCTTAGCCATAGCTATAGATATCGAAAGTGTGAAAAGAATACGCATTTGGCTACGCCGAGGACTCGCCCAACCTCTGAATACCCTGCAAAGAGAGGGAAATACTCATAGACTACTATATGAGAATGTGAAATAGGAAATTGTTTTTATTTTTCCTATGCCATATTACTTCATTATTTGTTTTCCATATAGTTCCCATTGCTTTCTGGTTCGAAATTGATTTGAGTTCAAAAAGCTGTAAAAAAGAAAGCAAGAAAATTCTCCGTATTCAAGATGATCCGTGGCGCTTTAACTACACGAATTTTCTTCAATGTTTTGGTCAAGTTCAATAATCAATTTAGCACAAGTTGAGTATTCTTCTATCATATGTAGCTGCCCTAGCAGGCAATCAGCTGTTCGAGTCTCTTCCTCTCTCTCTTGCTCTCGCACGTACGTAACACGCTGCGTATGCGTGATATTTGCATAAAATCATCGCCTCTTGCGTTGATTCGTTTACAATTTCATGTGATTGCATGCAAATATTTGCAAATATTTGTTGTTTATTAAATGAACATTAAGCAAGCACACAACACAACACACGCACACACACACACACACGCACACCCTTTGGGTTGAAGCCAAAACGGATGTGCGTTTGATTTCAAATGCGATTCGAATGCTCTCTCGCGCGTGTGTGTGCGTGTGTGTGTGTGTGTATGTATTTCCTTTTGATAGAGTTCACAATTTGTATATTCAAAATTTGTTGTTGCTTACGCTTAGCTGTTTTTTAATTGCTGCCAAAGCATTTCATAAAAGACAAAGCCAAGTGCTTAAATTTGAGGCTAGTTGCTCAGGTGTTGGCTAAAGGTAAACCTATTTGCTTTGACCAGAAACGTGCAGCCAATAAATCGCAATTCAAAGAAGCTCAATATAAACATATAAATATATATATTTACACACATACATATATATATTTATATATATATTCATCTACACGGTCGCAATTTATAATCATATTAATAACGATTTGTTTTAATTAATCTCAACATTTGCGCTGTCCATGCTGCCAAAAAATCAAAAATCGAAAAAAACATACATAAAATAAAAACTGAAATGAAATCGAAATACTCAAAAAAAAAAAAAAAGAATGTGACGTGAATTGTCACAAGAAATGCGAACGGCTCACGGCCAATTTATGCGGCGTCAATCAGAAGCTCATCGTCGAGGCGCTCAATCACGTAAAGCGAGGTAAAAAAAATTAAACAACAATAATACCAACAACAACATTAAAAAACATAAAACATTCCATAAGTAATAAACAATAAAGGAAGTTCTTAACTACGGCAGGTCGAAGCTCGAATACTCTTACAGAGAAATCAATAGCTGTCGCCTGATTTGAATATATGTATATATAGTTAGTTGAATATCTAGTAGAATCCATAATTATATCTATCCATATATTTCATACAGCTTCTCCATTCCAATCAGAAACAAAATTAGAAACAGATTTTCGAAATTCATATTTGATTAATGTTAACAAATTAGTTTTTCAGCTCGAACAAGATTTGCCCCATGACCATTTCTATGTCAACTATATATATTATACATGTCAATGATATATTAGCTTTATATAGTCCATAATCACATAGTTCGACTGAAGAGTAGTTTCCTCCGAAATTTTCGTTTTCTTTAAACAGAAAATTTTCACATTTCCATTCAATTCCTCTGGCAAGTTTATGCTATATATAATATTCATTCTGTCCGATCGAATGCTGGAAGGGAAATATAAATTATACTTAGTTATATCCATATAGATATACATATGTATATATCTATTAATTTCCCAAAATTTAAATGCCTTCCACAAGAGTATAAAGACGCCGCCTCGTATCGGAAGCGAGACGCGCCTCAGCCAGATGGGGGCGCGTGCGTCGCAAAGCAAACTGAAAGCGACAAGGAAAAACAACAAAAAATCTAGAGAAAATTTAAATGAAAATGAAAATGTAAAGGAAAAAAAAGACAAATCCATAAATAATGGCGCCTAAATATGGCTGACATTACGATTTCATAACTGTCAAGGTGTGCGGGTGTGTGTGAAAGTTCAATAGATAAATTTACAAAGAAGATAAAGCACATTTGCATGATAGGCGCTCTTGCTAAGGTATATATAGTATTAGTGATAGATACATGCATAATGAGATTGATATATAGATATATAGATGTATAGATACATAGATACATAGATACATAGATACATAGATACATAGATACATAGATACATAGATACATAGATACATAGATACATAGATACATAGATACATAGATATATAGATATATAGATACATAGATACATAGATACATTTACATAGATACATAGATACATAGATACATATATACATAGATACATAGATATATATATATACATAGATACATAGATACATAGATACATAGATACTTAGATACTTAGATACTTAGATACTTAGATACTTAGATACTTAGATACTTAGATACTTAGATACTTAGATACTTAGATACTTAGATACTTAGATGTATAGATATATAGATATATAGATACACAGATTCATACACACAAACACACACACCTATACACTTAGTGAATCGAGTGATATCGTATCGTAACGGTATTTCTAACGCGTCCAACTTTGATCTCCTTCCCACATGAACTAGGCGCACGTGAGACACGAGACTCGCCGAGCACTCCGCCCAGCAGTAATCCTGCCTATAAGATAGATCCCAGCGATGAACACGATGGTAGGCCGAATCCAATCTAATCACTATGTTTAACACTAATCCAATGGCACTTTAACACGTAACGCCTTAACCTACATATGCACGTACATATTGTAGTATATGCCACGCTGCTCAAGTGACCAACTGTCGGACACCGAACGAACTCAACTGTGGACGCGACTATCCCAACTTTTATACTTACCCTATATACTATATAAACAACTCTCTCTTTCCACTTTATAATGTATTACAACTTTATTACTCACTCTCTATATACAAATATGTATATCTATCTATCGATCTGTCTATCGCTATCGGATACTTCTGGGATGTCGTACAGAAACATCATATACATATTCACAATTCCAAAAATCCGGACGATTCACTGCGCCAGCAACAGTAATACCTAGATTTAAGAACTATTCGGTAGATGATTTTCATTTTCTGGCCGTGCTGGGCAAAGGCAGCTTTGGCAAGGTGAGTGATGAAATGAAAGAATTTAAGATCAACATGGAACTTACCATCTCTCTCTCTCTTTCTCTCTCTATCTCTCTCTCTCTCTCTCTCTCTCTCTCTCTCTCTGTCTGTCTATTTATCTCCCTCTCTGCAGGTTCTGTTGGCTGAACTGCGTGATACGACATATTACTATGCCATCAAGTGCCTTAAGAAGGACGTGGTCCTTGAGGACGACGACGTCGACTCCACGCTAATCGAACGCAAGGTTTTGGCACTGGGCACCAAGCATCCGTATCTGTGCCATCTATTTTGCACATTTCAGACCGAGGTGAGTTGCGCCCTTGCAAGACAAGGTCGCCAGCAAGGTCGATAGGTTGGCCATATACATATGGGGCTTTCTCGACTCGTGTAGGTAATACCCGCCATACGTATCCGAAAGATACGAAAATAAACAGCCTAAAGGTAAAACGTACTATTATTAGAGTACGCTCGGTCTCTCTCTCTCTCTCTCTCTCTCTCTCTTTCTCTCTAACTATCTCTGTGCATGTGTGTGTGTGTGTGCTTTGTTTCTATTTTGACCATCGATTGGGGCACACGACATGGCATATAGTCGACCGATCCGCGCAGCACGTAATTTGGCACGCACGTCCGGCACAGCGTTCGACAATGTTCTCTTAACATTTTGACCACGAAGCGTTCAAAAACTTTCTAGTCGCATCCAAGCGACGGTGCAATACCCGTTCACAGTTCACAGATTATCAAAAGATTAGGATGAACAGGGCAGATCTTTTATCTCTTATCTCTTATGTTTTTCAACTAAAGAATTTAACTGACATCTCCCATAACAGCTTTCCTGCTTGAAACCGCCTTACCTTCTACAGTGGAACCCTTCCACATGGTCTAACTAAGTTGTGTTATTCATAGCTGCTTCCAGATCCCACCTGGTGTAGCTAAGCAATGTAATCCTTAGCTGCTTCCAGATCCCACTTTTTCACCGCAAATCTTTTCCAACTATCTTCCCCTTTCTGTCAACTACAGCTATGGCTGTGTCATATATCTATATCTAATATATAATATAATCTATATAATATAACAAAATTCGCTCCAACTAATATACTCAGTCACGTTTTGTGAGCGGGCATCAAAAGCATATACTTATATGTATGTACTATATACAATAAAAACAAAACAGATTTAGTAAAAGCAAACAATAAGTTTGCTCTGTTCGCATTGACACCGATTAGAAGGTATTTTAATTATTTATGACTTTGAGGATACACGCCCATTTATTTTGGGAGCCTAGCGATACGCGTACTGCACACCTTTAGCTAGTGCCAGTCAGCGAAAAATATGCCAATGCATCAAGGTGGAATGAGACACAGAAATTTGGAAATTTGAGAAAATTTTCTAAATAGAAAATAGAGAAAATAAAATATACAATATATATGGATAAAGCACTTAGAAATAGGTTAACCACATCGTGCCTACGCTCTATATATTTCTATACATATACATATATTGTATTGCTGAGTATATTTGCATGTTTTTCTCGCTCTATTTCCCGCAGAGTCACTTGTTCTTTGTCATGGAGTATCTAAACGGCGGAGATCTCATGTTTCACATACAGGAGAGTGGACGATTTTCGGAGGATCGTGCGCGATTCTATGGCGCCGAAATCATATCCGGCCTCAAGTTCTTGCATAAGAAGGGCATCATATACAGGTGAGCAGTGCTAACTATCCATAAGTATATGCATACGAAGTGAAACTCTCTTTTTCGCAGGGATCTCAAGTTGGATAACGTATTGCTCGACTATGAGGGCCATGTGCGTATTGCAGATTTTGGTATGTGTAAGTTGCAGATATACTTAGATAAGACGGCCGATAGCTTTTGTGGCACACCCGATTACATGGCGCCCGAAATCATTAAGGTGAGTTATCGATCAGTAAAGCGCCCTCGAACGATAACGATAACACTGTTATTTTCTATCCAGGGCGAAAAGTACAATCAGAATGTCGATTGGTGGTCATTCGGTGTGCTGCTCTACGAAATGCTCATTGGCCAATCGCCATTCAGTGGCTGCGATGAGGACGAATTGTTCTGGTCCATATGCAATGAAATTCCATGGTTTCCGGTCTACATATCAGCCGAGGCAACGGGCATACTCAAGGGCGTAAGTCAATCAATATATTGCATGTATAAGAAATACATTTGACCGAATCAATCCAAATCTCTATAGCTGCTGGAGAAGGACTATACGAAACGTATCGGGTCACAGTATAGTCCAGCTGGTGATATAGCAGATCATATATTCTTTAGGCCCATTGACTGGAACCAGCTCGAAAAGAGGCAAATCGAGCCGCCTTTCAAGCCCCAAGTGGTGCGTATACCCATTGATTTCTCGATATGCATACATCAATATTTCTTTGTGGTTCTTCTTTGACAGAAACATCCGTTGGATACGCAATATTTCGATCGGGTATTTACCAGAGAACGCGTGCGCCTAACGCCCATCGATAAGGAAATACTCGCATCAATGGATCAGAAACAATTTCATGGCTTCACCTATACAAATCCGCACATCACATTGGACTAGGATGTCTAAGTATATATTAGTAGTCAATGTGCTGGCCATAGACCATATATATTTAGCATATTTATCTCTAATATTAGCTATACATATTCATGAACCTAACCTCCGGAGCCCTAGCCCGATAATTACTTCATAGAGCAACAGTATTTGTATATGTATGTATATATATCTATTATATGATTCAATCAATATCGTTTTGTGTAAGGTTTTTTTTTTAATAGATATATAGAAATGCGCATAAATAGGTTTACTTAAATGTATCAATGTGCAGATTCCTAGCTAAGTAAAGCTGAGCCAAGTATCGTCTCAGATCGATGTCTATATCTGAAATCGGAGTTGATTTTGGCTATTACAGTTACAAAGCTACGAATACGTTTATATTGATAGTCACTTAGCCATAAATAAACCTACATATAAGAACTTAACTGTATATACCATATATATATTTGTATGTATATATATAGCTATATATCACTATATATGGATATATATATGAATCACATATTATAATCAAGCAACTTTTTTTTTTATTAGCTCTATACCAAAGGCTAAGTATGTACTCGTTATGCTAAAATAAAAATTGAGAAAAACATGTAAATAATGCAGATACAACGGGAAGTCTATTATTTTCAAGCCGGGCATATCTTTAGAAATATTTTTCTTAGCGGTTAAAGCTACGTATTTGAAATAAAGAAGTCAAAAATCGTAGGAATTATGCTCATATGCATTATAGGTCCATTTAGGTGTTTATATATGTATGTATCTTTCACACTGACTCACACCATAATAAACATAACAGACTCTTACGAGCTGCAGCTGAGATATTCCCAGTTAAACTTGGCTATAATTGGAAGATGCCTATCTCAAAGCCGTTAAAGTCTTCGAGATGACCTAAACTGGTTTTCCTGTATGCACTCTGTATGCAGTCAAAAGAGACATTTATGTTCATTTCTTTACATGCATATCATTTAGGAATTAACTGAATGACTTGGCCGTTAGAGATGATAATGCGAATGATAATGGGCCAGCGAGAGTGTTCACCCCTACCCGAGTTCACTGTACCGTATTGCGAACCGATGCCAGTGAAAATAGTAGAATAGATGTAGCCACTGGCTAACCAGGGCCATTCATTCATTGTCAGCTGTGCTCCAGTGATCGGTGGACGCTTTTCCATCGGATGATTTGCATAAGCCATTGTTCGCCCCAGGCAGCATTTTCATGCAAATGAGCTGGGTGACACACAAAACAGCAAACGGCAAACAAGAAGAACAATTTAAGCGAGAGTGTGCCCCAGTGAGGAGGGAGCGAGAGCCCTCGGCTTGGACGGTAGCAGCGCCATTTATGACCCCAACCAGGTTGAGAGCCAGTTGTGATGACCGGCTTCTGGGCAAAGACAAAAGCAGCGCCAGTTGAACATTAAAAGAATTATTCTTGTTAACTGTAGCATAAATCATTTATTAAACAGCTAAAACCGCACATACACGCACGCACACACACACACACACACACAGGCACATGCGACAATTTGTGTGTAGGCCATAAAAATGATAGAAGAAGTGAAATGTTAACAACTAACAACAACCAACAGCAACAACAATAAACACAGTCAAGTTAGCTGTTATATTTTTATTTTCATTTCAAAGCTTAAAGTATTTAATACACAGTGGTTCAAGATCTAGCAAATAGTGCACGAATACTAACTGCATACGAGATGCATTGTAGATAGATAGATATTTTCTTATCTATTTTTGTGTCTTTCGATATAGAGCTCTTCAAATAAAGTTTACTACATTGAATTTAATTTTCTTTGACATGTAACATATACAGTATGTGAATTCGGCTAAATTTTGCTGCATGGCGCCTCACAGTATTTAAATATCGTCATTGCATTTTATTTGCTAATCGATAGTCGTTACAATTTATCGATCTGTGTTGCCCATTGATTTGCCAATAATTGCCAATTGCACAAAAGAAAACCAAATCAGATGTCAAGAGAATGTAAAAATAAATAAAATCAAATATTTGTAAATTTCAGCTGGAAAATGTTTAATTTCAAAGCAGTAAACCACTGTGCGGTGGTTCGTTTCATAGAGCATGCGTCGGAATTTTCTCTAATTAATTCATTTCTTTGTGTGCGCCTGTGTATGTGAGTCGAGTGTATGCATGTGTGTGAGAGCAAGCCCCGCTCTCTGGCGGTCTGCGGCGCAGTGCGTGGCTCGGTCAAAATCAGTTGGTGCAATGCCGGCCTAGAACGAGCTGCTTGACTCCATATTAGCTCCGTCATTAACTCTCATCATTATTTTGTTACGTTTTTTTTTCTGTTTGTTGCTTGTTTGCCTAATGTGCGCTGCGATTGGCAGTCAATAAACTGAAAAAGCTGAAAGGAAGACAAGTGTTGTAAAGGACTGCAATTAGTGAACATGTGCCAGCCCGCCGCAGCTTAGCGATGAATCTGATACTGCCACCACTGGCAGCTGCTCTGCGACTGCAGTTGTTGTTTTTGTTATTAGTGCTGCTGCTGATTTGCCGCTGGGAATTGGTGCTGCCGATGCCGTTACCCCCCGTGCGTCGCAATATAATCAAGGTGCGTGCGAGTGGCTTCTTGCCATTCGAATCGGATCTGGTGCTGCCGTTGGGCATCCTGCGCCAGCTGCAAGCACAGGAGCGTATCTCGCGTGTGCTGCCGCCCGCTCGCTACGCCAAGCCGGTGCGCCGGAAAACGAAGCCAAAGGTCAAGCAACAGGTGCGCCTGGAGCGCGCCCACATGCGAGGCGGAGCCGACGCGGATGCAGGCATCCAGCTGTACAATCTGATCGACGACGATGGCGAGCTGCTGCTCAGTCTGCGCGTGCACAGCGACACCAAGAGCAACAGTCACAGTCACGGCAAGAGCAACAACAACAACTTAGATGGGGACATGAGCGCGCCCTGGCGACCATCGAGATGGCGACCCACAACAAGCCTTCCGCTGATAACATCATCCTCGCCGCGCCCACTGCCTCTGCATCAGTATCTGAGCAGTGGGAATAGCGTGGAGCAGGCTCCCATGACGCAACAGCGACGCATGTTTGGAGCTCGTCCAGATTGGATCTACCACTGACAAGCGAACCCCATCTTTCATGAAAAATCTCTAATCTATTTTCAACACACACACACACACACACACATTTGTCAAACACACCTTCACCAGCACACACACACACACACACACACACACACACATTTAGCTCTTATGTTATACTAAAGATAAACAAAATGATACATAAAAAAAATGAAGAAGAAAAATCAACATCTTATGGGCTTATTAATCAGCTCGTTTAGCTCATAGCGCTTATGGTAATGGACTGACGAAACGAAGCCCAAACGAATGTGGGTGGACCCAAAACCAGTTGCACTCTGTATGCAAATGACTAGTTAAAGCAGATCTGGGAATTACAATAATTCATATTGAATGTGAAATCTAAATGTGATGCATGCCCATTAATTAACTACAGTTAAATGATCTATGCGATGCCTGGGTGTTTGGTAACCCAATCCCCCAAATTGATGGCAAGCGGTAAATGTGTGAAGCTTAAATAAAATCAACATAAAACCAAGAAAATCTGTGGCGAACTAAGAAAACCGAGACATGGAGAGAGACAGATAGAGAGATAGATATTGTAACTAGACTAGTAGATACCCTAAGTTTAGCATTCATGATATTTGATATATGTATATGCATATTATCTATAATATATGATACATGATAACCGATTTCTAGATTCAAGTCTTTATTTATAGAATCTACATATCGGAACTATCATCTAATGTTATGTATCATAATCTCAAATCATACATATCTTATTATATTATATTTATATGGTATATTATATGATTGCTGAGACTTTGATTAAATAAAATCTAAAGAGGCTTTAACCTAGATTTCCATTGTTATTAAAGGTTGAAATATAAAGCTATGCGTAGAGCCAAGTCTAATAAGGGCTTATTTCTGATACACTAAGCTTGATTTAATTTTCATCCATTAATAAACTTTATATTTCTAATTTTGTAAGGAAATTTTGTTTTGAAATGAATAATTGGGGAGGTCTTTTCTTTCAGACATTTTGATAGACTTTCAGTTAACAATATAAAGCTTCCAAATATTTAACTTCAGTTTTATTATAAGCCAATCCATTTTCAATAGGAATAAACGGAAATAGAAAAAGATTTGGAAATTTTTAAATATAGTTAGATATTTCCCCTGGTAAGCTCAAAACTTGCTATTCGTAAACTCCCAACTCAAGATGTAAGTACATATCATAAGCATTTGTTTCTAAATTTCAATGTGTTTATATTTTTCAACAGAAAAAAAATGTTTCTTAGGCTAATGGAAAAAAATGGGGGGTGTTACTAAAACTATTTAACAAAGGAGGTCACAGTTATGACACAGTTCGAATCACAGATCAACTGGGCACAGTTGAGGAGATTATTTCCAGGCGCCAACGGGAGGCAGGTAGCCGGGCTGGGGAGCCGAGACAGCTGGGGGCAGGTACTCGTTGTGGACGGCAATGGGCGCTGGGGCGGCCTCTTCGTGAATGACCTTGACGGTCTTCACCTCCTGGTGGACGTGGCCGATGTCGTGACCGCTGCCATGGGAGTAGCCGCCAGCATAGCCGCTACCCTGATGGATGACCTTCACAGTCTTGACCTCTTGGTGGCCACCGAAACCGCCGCCATGCGAGAAGCCGTGATGCACAGCTGGTGCCTCCTCGTGGATGACCTTAACGGTCTTCACCTCCTGGTGGCCATGTCCGCCGCCATGGCTGAAGCC